GTTTCTGTCACCTTGTCGCACAGTTCACTTTTTCCAGTATGTGTAAATAACTGTATAGATACTTCTTGCACCTCTACACATCATGTCAGCAGCCAAAAATGGCACAACATATGCAAATTATGAAAGGGTAAATTCACCCTCCATATTCTTGGGCCAACCATACTGCTGTACATGATCCATTAAGGACCCTGTAAATGTTCTCATCAATGGGATAGTTTCCCACCTTTGCAGCAACCGCCTCATTCTGTGAGTGTCCCTCAGCTTCCAGGCCACAATCAAGGCACCAACCTTTTTGAACCAGCCGCCACCAGCTGAGCCACCAGGTATAGGAGGTGTCCAATCAGGATCCTCAGATTTGGTAACAAATGGCAATAACATATTGTATATGCTTCATTGTTTGCAGAAGCCTATATATGCACAATTCACTTTCATCCACTATAAACAACATGAAAACATACTTATGAGTCAAGAAGCTGCATCATGCTTCTCCTTTGGTGTTCCATATAGAAACTTCTTCATCTCTGCAGGAGTGCACACTAATTTGTACTGACCAGCGCACCCAGCACTGGAAGAAGCATTTGCTTCAAGACCAGAGCTTGAAGGAGCAGAACTGTAACCTTCACTTTGTGGAGCAACTTCTGGAGGAGCACTTGCTGTCTTAGGACTGGAGATTGCAGCACTTGGATCACCTGCTGTGGGTTCTGAAATGTCAATACCTTCTTTTTCCAGCTTGGTGGCAAATGACGTCAAAAAGCCAAATATCTCATCCACAGGTGGTTCAGGGTTCTCAGGTACCTGAGTTCCAAGTCAAGCACCAAAAAAAAGAACAACTTTGCTGAATCAAACTAGGCTTTATACAAAGGTTCATCCCAGTTACATGTTTTTCCACAGTTGTAGCTGCTGACTTGTCTACAAAGGCATCACTGGCTTCTGCCTTTGCCTTGGCTGTGCTGTTGGGTATGGTGGAGCTTTGATAAGGTTACCAGACATAAACCTTTTGGAAAATACACAAGCAAACACATTGCTCACTACACTATGCCAGTGGGCTGCTGGTTCACACTTGGGCTTAGGAAGCCGCTGCCTTTTTCTGCTTGAAAGTTGCTTCCATGGCGCATCCTCGTGGTCAGCTGCCTCATTTGAGTCAGCTTCCCTTTTCATTGTTGCCAAGGTGCTGCACATATGATGCCTGCTTGTTTTGGCAGACTGCAGACATACATAGAAAAATGGCCTTGCTGGGTCTGTTACTGTGTTCTGCATGCTGCCTGAAACTCAAACAGCTGCACATAGAAGAGTTTGTTCAAATAAAAACATTGTAAATGGGCGGCCCTAGAGGCTTGTTTGCATTTGAATGCAATACTCAAAATAGTTAGCCCTTCAAGGCAACAACAAACAAACAACAAAATTCAAGCCCCTTGGGCAACCACCAAAAAGGTGCTAAAACAAAGATGTGCAAATGTTTCTTGACAAAGCAAGCGCACTTTTCAGCAGGCTCTTGGCACATGCAGGTGCAAGAGGTCAAGATACCTTTGCCTTTTTGGCATTGGGCTCACTGGTTGGAGGCTCCAGTACAGCCACTGAAGACTTACACAGCACAGTCTCTGCTTTGATGGGCTCTTGATTTTCGAGCACAGGAATCTTGAGGTGTTTGTAGTCCACCCAACCAAAGGTCATGTTGATGGCTTCCTCATCATCTGATGCCTTGACCCAGAAGAATGGGCATAGAATCCCCTTGTCACGCTCAGGCTCTTTGAAATTGCTCAGGGCCTTGTATGGCTGCACAGTGTATGGCTTGTTTTTCCACCACACCAAAACTGCCTTTCCCTTCTCCAAGACCTTCTTTTCATCAAGTGGTGCCACTGGACTACAAGTTCCCAAGGGATATAGTTTCAGCTCCTTCTTTTTCACTTTCTTCAGCAGCACACAGTTGGTGGGATGACAGGTGAACCCCAATAGGTTCTCATCTGCCTTGTTCTGGTGGAATGCTTCCATCAACAAAGAGTTCACTGACATCCTGTCAGCTTCAGCCTGCACCATGGCTGAATTTTGTGGCAGCCTTTCTTTGCAAAGGCTGGTGGGGAGAAGCTGAGTCATTTCCTTTTTTGTAATCTTCCATCCTCTCAAGGATGAGAGGTCTTCACAATGCTGGACAGCAGGCCCAAATATTGGTAGATGCTCAAACTTGGCACCACTGCCATCAATGCTCTTCAGCAAAAAGATCTGGTCAGGATGGTCAGGGTGGCAATACCTGCGCACACTTGTTTGGGTCTGCAAAAATCAAAAGCTGTAGGTGTTCCTTTACACAAGAAGAACACAAAAACATGTCAAGAGTGGAAAACAAAATGAAACCAAAGTGCCTGTGGCCAACCAATATGTGCTGGTTCTGGAGTAATGCAAGGTCTTCTGCAGAACAGCTGACCAGATCCTTCACAGGCTGGTCTGGTGAAGCAGTGGTAGAGGAAGCAGCTGCAGCTGATTGCACTGGTTGCTTTGGGTTTGTGAGCTCCTGCTGGAAAAGCTCCACAATTTTGGAACAAGACTCGAAAGTATCTTGCTTTGCAAGCCTTTCCTTTCCAAGGATGTGGATCACCATCCTCACACATGCTTGCCCAAAGCACTGGTATCCCCACTTGATGTCACTTGTTCCCTGGGCCTGTGCCCAAAGGTCAGTCAGAACTTCATCAAGCCTTCTTGTGGATGTCTTGGATTTCAATTTGTCAAAGTCGCTCTTGAACAGCAACTTGGAGATGCCATCCTGTGATTTCTTTGATGTCAAAATGCAAGCTGCTAAAGCCACCCTTGTCATGACCATGGCCTGTCCAGGAAGGCGAAAATCATAATGTGCCAGGAGGTTCATCATTTCTTCACCAATCAAAAGGCTATGGCCTGCTGTCTTGCCTCAGGTGGTGAATGCTTTAATGAAACCAGCCAGGTGTATCCTCTTAACAAAAGCTGAAGAAGGTGCAACAAACCTCAGATGTGCTTTTTTTAACAAACCTGAAAAAGATTGAGCAAACCTCACAGTGCATGCTGTGGTGCAGAGATGATCCAAGCACTGGAGCAAAGGAAATTTCTTGCCTCCTGAGAACATCCTGCAGAAGTAGGCAACATCCCCCAAATACTTTTTGCAACTTGGGGCTGCATGTTGAGCTGCCAGAACGGCATCATCAAGCTTCAAGCCTTCTTCATACAAGGCAGCCAGCTGCAGCATGCATTCAAGTTCATTGCTGGCAATTTGGTTTGTATTGTGGCTGTTCATGGCCATGGATGCGAAGCCAGGCAGAGTTGGCCAAATCTGTTCAGCTTCATGGCTGATCACCTGCCACTGCCAACCTTCAGTGAGCAAAGGTTTCATGTCAACGCTCAGAACCATCTGGGAGCCATCTGGCTTCTTGCATCCAAGCTCCATGGCTTTTGCCCATTGTACAAAATGGGAATTTGCTAAAGTCAGGAACCTTTCATCGCCTCGAACTGAAGCAAGAAGGCCACCTGCTTCATCCACCATTCTTTTGTTTGCACCAAGTTGACTATCTTTTTTGGCAACATCTCGAGATATTTCTATAGCCAGGGAGTTTGGTGGGAGAAGGTCAGCCTTCAGCCCTGAGTCAAGGATCTCTGCTCCCTTGCAGTGGGCATTGAAAGGGTTTATGAGGCTTCTTCCCCTGTTCTCAGGGTGGCACAGCATGGATGAGGGGCAAATGTTGGCCTTGTAGACCAATCCAACACCTTCTAGGATGCTCAGCACCTTCTGGAGCCTGGTGTTGATCCCTGCAGGGCATGAAGGGCTCAGAAGGTTTTCCACTTCTTTTACCACCTCTGGAGGAACAGCCATGGCCATGGCTAAAGCAATGCTGCTGCGCTTATTGGACAGTTTAACTTAAAGCACATTGTTGCCGAACAAAATAAGAAAAGCAACTAGCATGTAGTGCCATGCTTGCAAAACATGATGTTTGCATCCAGCCCAAGAAGAGAGGGCTGGAGGGAAAAAACCATTTGAGCCCAGTCAGCTCTGCATTAAAAACATTGAAAAGAAAATCTACTAACAAAACTGAAACCAATGTGGCTGAAGAAAGGCTGACAAAATTAAAGCCCATGTGGCTGAGTGAAAGCTGAAAATGAAAGCCAATGTGGCTGCAGGGAAAAACAAGGTGAACCCTGTCAAGCGCATGGCAAAGGCACATTTTTCACTGGCCTAAGCTGCCAAAGGTCTGCAGGGTTCTTCAACCCTTGGCAAATCTGCCTGACCTCTTGTAAGCCCTTTTGCTCACATCCTTGCTGGAGCAATCAGCTTGCAAATAGTCAAAGACTGCAGCTAGCTGATCCTCTTGGATCTTCACCATAAGGTCACCTGATGTGGCCCGCTTCCCAGGGCACGAGATCTGTACAGTCACAGACCCAACCTGTACATCCACTACTTGTTCAGCTCTCTTCTTTTTGTCTTGTGCATCATTCTCATCAGTGTTGGCACTGATAAGCTGCTTGTTTCTCTGCTTCTTCAATTCAGCCAAATGATGGCTGTTGGCCAATGAAAAGGCCTTGTTGCAGCGCTTGCATATCAGCTTTGCAATCAAAGGGGAGCTTCCTTGGACTTTCAAATAGCTGTCACCATTCAGATCCTGCATGTGGTGTTGGAAAGGTGTGAATCAATAAGCACAAGTAGGAGGCTATGTTGAACACACCCAAAATTGTGTTTTCTTGTTGCAAAGAAAGTACATGCACAAAACCCACATGCTTTGGGCAAGCATATGTCCTTCACAACCAT